CGTACCACTCATCCAGAACCAGAACTAAATGTTTTTTTTTTTTGTAAAAAGACACATTAAAGCCAATAAAACAATACATTTATAGATGATTTCGGCATAACTACCTGTGTTCCACGTAGTTTATAACAATCCCCCGTGTTTTATTTATTCAACCTTAGAATACCAATGATCATACAAGTGACTGAAATTTCAATGTCAAATAATATGATGCAGTGGAAGAGAAAAACATTTGTACTTTACTTTTCATGGTTTCTCTGGTTATTGTTTTCTGTTAGTAACATCTTATAAAAGTAATAACAAACAATGATTTCTGAATTGTACCACAGAATTAAACAGGTAATAAATCTAACATAAAATAATGCTTAAAGAAAAATGCTAATATAAAAAATGAAATGTTTGTGAGCATGTGTTCAATGGTCAGCGAACTTCCTGGACAGAAAAATATTGGTGTCCCAGGAAATGAAAGTCATTCAGACTTTACTTCCTTTGAGGGTTCAGCTCCTTCAGCTCCTGGATCAGCTTCTCCTTCTGCACTTTTACCAATCATCTTCTTGTATTTACTCTTAAAAAATCCACACTGAGTGAAAAGATAAAAGTCCGATATTAAATCACTGGAATTTGTGTTCAAAATAGGGAGACACCAATCAAAATCAAATCAAACAAAATAYAAATTTGTCAAGATTTTAGAATGAAAGTTTTATGTATTAAAGAATAATATAACTCACCTTATACAGCCCAGCAGTGAGTAGAAGAAGAAAAGCCAACCCTCCCAGAGATCCTCCTACGATCTCTTTGGTGAAATCTGGTTCAGGAAACACWTCTACTTCAGCCTCAATCTGAAAGATAAAGTGACATGATCTGGATCAAATTCAAGTTATTTAAATTACATATAAAGTGTTTATAATGTTCAGTTACCAGGCGAACAGGAGGGATGTTATTAGAGGCTGCTGAGAAGTAGATGTACTGGTTTCTGTCGTACTCTAAACTGGCCGTACTGGAAAGGATGAACTTGGCAGATGAAAGGCCGATCTGAAAGGATGAACAACAACAGAGACTTTTTCAGATTTTAATATGAGTTGACCACATTTGAGTAAATAAGACATTTGATCATCAGGACCAGTTAGATTTAACAGTTACCTGCTCTATCCACRCTGAGCTGAGGTTTGCAGAGATTTTGTATGTTTTCTGCTCCAACCTTTCCATGAACCTGCTGCACCTGAACACASCACAGCTTGCTACCGAGCAGTTCTGTCGGTAATAAATGCAGAGTGTGAGGCAGGATCATTTTATTGTTATTCTTGCAGCAATTTTTACTCACCAGAACTTTATTTTCCTTTATCTGTGCAACAAAATCAGTCATCGCAGGTTCTTCATCTGTGTCTCTCTGACAGTCTGGAATCTGAAAAGCAGAGCTCCTTTAGGTCAGTTCACCTGTTCATCATGTTAGCGCTTCCATCCAGTCCACGACTAGGAGCCCTGTAAAGTTGATTTAAACCATATTTTACCTGAAAACTGTTCATATCCACCCACATGTCTTTGTCACCGAGCTTCACAGGAACTCTGATCACTACAGTGAAATTCAGAGCTCTGATATTATTTGTGACCTGGAAGAAAAGAGAGAAAAACAAACTTCAGAGACAAACTTCACATTAAGATTCTTTAAGGTAATGAACAAAAAAAAAAAAAAAATGAATTTACCTTGACTAATTGTTGAAGTGGTTTCTGTAGATTCTTTCCAAATGTGAAATTACTGTAGCTGATGGGGCTGAATAGATATAATTTATTTATTAACACAACTTAGAATTATTATTAGTTTTTAAAGTAGTATTTTTGTCTGAACAGGAAGAAAACTGACCTTTCCATTGTCATAAAAATGCTGTACTTCACTTCAATCTGTCTCTTTTTGTAGAGTTCACTTCCAGAGGAGTGCTGCTGGTTTCCACTAAAAATAATGTGAAAATATTAATAAACAATAAATGTGCATCAAAAAAAGCAGCACCTGTGACTGATGGTCAGTACCTGGTAGCGTTTGCAGTCACAGAGATCCATCTGTCAAGTTGTCTGCTGGGA